AGACTGGCTCACGGGGGCTGATGGGTTTTACTTCTGTAAATGCCACTTCTTTGTATAGGTATGAAATTTGAAATGAACGTTTAAAACTCCTCCCTTCCCCCAGCAATACTTTTTTTGCCTTTTGGCATCTTTCAACTCTTAAGCAGGTCAGATTGACTTTGGTAAATCTAATGGTAAAGAACAACATATCTCTTGATTCCTTGGCCTGCTGCTGAACTCAGTACCTGGCATAAGCAGAAAAAGCATCCTGTTCATTTGAAATGATTTAACATTTACTGTTTTCCTTGTGTTTCTGTGAAAGAGTTTCTTTTGATAATCCCTAGTGTATAGTTACAATCTACTTAAAATGCAGGCTCTGGAAAAACCAGGAAAAGAAAACACCATTTATGATCAAAAAATATTTGCTACAAGAAAAAAAAAAACCCTACATTGTTGGTTTTGCTTTGAATGGCTAAAAATTATTTGTCCAAAATGAGGTTTCTGTCCTGCCCTTGCTATAGAAAGGGGTAGGAGGGAAATGGTATAGCTCAATAAAACTGTGATTACTTGGGTCTGTTTTCATAATGGTACATAATACATTAGTTAAAAGGGGCTGTAGAAACTGTTAACTCTTTGATGTATGTTTGTTCTCATTTGATTCGTATTTAAAAACTGTTAATTTAAAAAAAAAGTACCATTGATGGAAATGAAGGAGAAGCTATATAAAAGTAGTCAAATATTGATTCTAGAAATAAACCTTTCAAACAGTTTAAAAATCATATCACCTCTTTAACTTTGCAGACGTCAGGCGTTTCAAATGCGTTCAACAGCGTGGCTGTCAGAAGTGGATGTCTTGTGAATGATGCATTGCATAGAGCTGGGTGCGCTCTAATATTTATACTAATTGCTTGAGCAAGGGGAAGTTAAACATAAGTAAATTCTGGTGGTTTGGGGGGCCTCGATGATAATTTCCCCTTTATTAATTAAAAAGCAAGCTTTTGCTTTTTGATTTCTCAAATCCTTGCATCCAAGTGCATATTGTGTTCACTTTGGACTGAGGTAATGGGAAAGGCAGACTTTTTCGCAGGAATCCAAAATAAACATTTATCTTGGTGCCTTACAAAAAACACGAAGGAAAGGAAGCATGTTGGGCCTACAGAAGTGATATTGTCTTTTATACAGGGATAACTGATTGGGTTTTGTGAAAGGAGAGGTCATTGAGGTGTATGATCTAATTAAATAGACTGGAATATTCCAAATTCTGGCATTTTTCTTAAAACTGGATATATCCTGTTACATGTTTGTGCAGAATGAGCAAAGGTGGCATGCAGGACTCTTACCACCCACGTTGCTTGTTTTAATAAACCATCTGCCATAATTCATGCATGTTAAAGTGTCCCATGCAAATTTTAACCCATAACTGTAACGACGAAATAGAGAACAGCAATGTGACTTTTTTTTCTTATTTACTAACACGCTTTAAATACATCCCACTGATTCATGGGAAATATTTCGCCACATTTTATTTCCGCTTGAACTTTCCGAGCAGCTGTGTGTTTTAGTGTGGGATATTTCAAGTTGTTAACTGGCTCTGTAGTTTTAAAATAGCCCATTGCCCTTTACTCATTTACTGAACTGTGGATTTTTTGTTTCTGTTTTATTTGCATGCTGCATTTGCTAGTGTTGAGAAGCGTGGCTGCTAGGCCTGCCGAGGTATCAGGGAGGTCACTTCAGGATTGCAAGACTGTAAAACCGTGAGCTCAGCATTTGTAAAATAAACGTGAAGTATTCTTCATGTTTTCGCACACATAGCTAGACCCTCAGATAACTGACTGGCTGGATTTTCTTGCTTCGGAGATGGTTGTATTTGCAACAAATTCCGTCGCTCTTGGCCCCGAGTTCTTATAATGGTTGGGGTGAGGAAAGCGGTAAGGAGATGGTGCGTTTAAGAGGAGAGGAAAAACAAGGCAGTGGGACTTTTTTTCTGGGAAGCTCTTGAATATTGTATAACCCTGCTCTGCTGCTGAACTGAAGATAATGTTCTTTAGAGATAACCTCTCAGTTACATGTGGAACATATGGTATCATGGATTAAAACTTTCCTAAGGCCTTGGTGGAGCATATAACAAAGCAAGAACTTTACTAGGAAAACCTAATTAGACTAGAGAAAGTGAGCAAAAGATTTGACTCTGGAACAGTGTAGTTCTGTTACTATGTCTTTACTAGGTGTAACAAGGCAGGCACTAGGGCAAAAAAAATTCCCGGGAGGGAAACTGTCAACCCTAGGAGATATGCCGAGCCCCAGTCGATGCGTGGGGTGCAGAACTCTGCTCTGCAATCTGGGCCTTCGGGGACACCTGTGCCAAAGATCCAAGCGGGTTGCAAGACCGAGAGGGAAAGGGTGCCGACAAAGTTGTTGGGAACGCTGTTGGGTTATTTTGCCTGCCGCTTTGCCAAAGAAGCGATTCAGGAGAGAATATGTTCCCAACCCTCAGTGGCTGTGTTGCCAAGTGGGGTCCTCCCGGCTCGCGGAGGATGCAAAGAGTCGGAAAGCAGTGCTTTCGTCTTTGCCTTGTAAAGGAGAGCAAACACACGGATGGCTCCAGAAAGTGTCTGAATACCGTGCTGTGTGTAACGTGGTTTAATGAAACACCTGCTCCTGTGAGAGAGGTATGGGTCGAGCGAGAAGGAATTAAGATGAGTGTTATTTTTAACAGTTTAGCCAGCACTTGTGAATTGACTTAGGAAGCAAGGTCACAAGTTCAGCAGCATTTGTCACTTCAGCCCGGTTCCTAATTAAACAAATTTAAACTTACAAAATCACATTGCGCTCAGAAGTCCCACGGTTTTCCTGCACTCTGTGTGTTTGTGTGTGTGTGTGTGTGTGTGTGGAAAAACACAAGCTTCAGACGTAAGTAAATCTCAGCCTTCAAATCTTTAGAAGTTTTTTTCTAAAATCTATATCTGAGTTCATCGGTAAGCCAAGGGCCGCTGAAATGTGTTTGGCAGTAGTCCCTGCTGCCTCCAAACACAGCTGAACAAACAGCCCACAGCTTGCACAGGAAGACAGGCCAATTGGGTAGGAGGGCAGTAGGGGACAGCGTGGTCGATTTTTGTGTCCCAGGGAGAGAGGAGCACACTGCCACCTCTGTGTTTATGTAGCCGATAGGAACCGTGTTTAGTAATTGGTTGATCCTGTGGCTGAGGTGGTAAAGAAAGACCTTTCTAGTTTTCCGGCATACATTAAATAACTGAGATGACTTTAAATAAACTTTACTGAAAAGCTTGTGCGTCTTAAAGAAAAACTCCTTTTGAGGATTAGATCCGTACGGATCTTGGAAGGAAAGAAAGAAAAGGTTATTTTTGTTAATGGGGGAGAAAAAGCAGTTGGCTTTTCTGTTACGGTGATTGTTGTTTACTGGGAAGGCTTTGCTGGAATAAAATTATTACAGAATATTAGAGATAAGGCGTCATTTTGCTCTTAGTGATTTAGCCATTTGAGCAAATACAGTGAAAGTATTTGACATGAAGTAAGCTAGGAGTCTTCAAGCGATTGACCGCAGAGACTCTGCTGGCTGCACATGAGGGAAGTGTGCACAAGAGCAAATTATTTTTGCGTAGTGCCGTTTATTGAGGCCACATCTGCAGCCTGCATGATTTTTACAACCACTGTCAACAGACCTACAAGGAATGGAATAACCGCCATCTATTTTTGTTATGCAACTTTAAGTGCTATTATTAGAGCCAGCATTAGGAGATGGAATTCCATATATAGATAGTGGAGAGATGAACGGAGCGATTCAGGCAACTTCAGTGATATGCTGAAAGGAGGTTATACCCTTGAGCATCCACTGTCACTCTAGAGTAGCAGGAGAACACTGTCTCAACCAGGTCCAATGAATGCTTATGGTGCCTAACATGGTAGCCTGACATCATGAGCTGTGATGCCTCTGCTTCTCCAAAAATAGTGCCTTCCAGAAATCATAATCCTCTTCCTCTAGAGTTTAGCGTGACCTTTTTTAGGGTTGTTATGCAATGTGAATTGCAACACTACTGACTTAAATGCCAAATCCACTGACAGAAGAGGTTCTTGTGCAGAGCTCTGAACAGGCTCAGCCAGTCTTGTCTTGTCCCAGTCTTGCCTCTAGTCTTGTCCCGTTAGAGTATCCAGCCCAAATGCACAGTGGGAGGATGGGTGGATGTGCGTATTTGATGAACACAATGAACCTGCCGACAGGCAGTAGCAGTTCACAGAGGTGCTGGGGTGGGGAGGCAGGTGAATTGGCCAAGTGTGGAGCTGCACCTGCTCAGCCCCAGACAGAGACCATCCGACCTCAGCTAGGTGTTTCTCTGGCCACGTGTTCTGTAGCTGGTCTGGTTCTGTAGCTGGTCCTCCTCCTTAGAGCAAGTCTGTCTCCTTTCTGTGGCTTACCTCTCAAGCCATGTGGTAGGAACAGGGAATGTGGCACTTGATTCTTGTTACTCTGGTTGTTTCTGTGCTGTCGATAATTTCAGCAGTGATTACACTTGACATTAGAGACTGACATAAGGTGTTTTACTGGGTGCTTACTTTGTACTTGCTCTGTAACTGTTGTCTTCAAGTGCCATGTGGCCCCTGAGGAACTCAACCATGAATAAGGATCGCATATAGATGGGTTTGCTTCAGAGCAGCAGCTTGATAACAAAGGTATTGTTGAGTATTGCATAGGTGTCGAGGGTTTCTGTTTAATGCTGGCACATTATGCCACAAAAATTTGCCTTTCCGGGTGTAGAAATGCATTGAAGTAATTTACGAACAAAGAGGAGGTTTTCTTCCCACCGCCCATTGGTTTGGGAAAGATCATGCTGAAAACATCAGAGTAGTGAGGTCACTTACAGGATCAAATTAATTGTACTTTTATGCACTCCTGATCTGAAAAGCAGTTTAATACTGCTACTGCTCTTACACAGCTATGTGCTAAGCAGACACTAACAGATGCTTTTCCTAATTTTGATGCTTTCCTTATTCATCCTTTCTATTAGGAGAAACCCTCTGTGTCAGAAGCAGCTAGGAAGAAAGAGAGAGACTTAGTAGCCAAAGAAATTGAGAAACTGCAGGTCTCTATTCAGACACTGTGCCGGAGTTCCCTTCCACTTGGCAAGATCATGGATTACATTCAGGAGGACATGGATGCCATGAAGAACGAATTGCAGATGTGGCGACACGAGAACAGACAGCTTGCAGAAGCTCTGCAGAAAGAACAGAGGTGAGTGTGTTCAGGGAAAGTTTGATTTTTTTTTTTTCTTTTTTTTCTTTCCTCTTCAGGCAAGTTTCTGTTTTGGGGAGAAGGGAGAGGTTTACTCACTTTTAAAAATGAATTTGTCATCTGTCATGTTTGCTTTGTCTTTTTTTTTTTTTCCTGAAGTGTTCAATTCCTAAAGGAATTTCACATAATGTATGTGACAGCAGAGATACAAATGTTTGTGTGAGATGAGAGGACTTCATGTTTTGTTTTGTCCTTTTCATGAATGTATAAGGAGTAATGAGGGGGAATACCTCAGTAGAAAAGCTAGGTTTGGAATGGGGACTAGCGGTGGATTCCTAAATCACAACCTACTCTCTTGCAGCCACAGAGATTACGTGCCATAGAATTCTATGCATTCTGTAGCGATATTAATAGCATGTATTGCAGTGAGCTTATGATTAAAACACAACATTGGAAAGCCAGGAGACTGAAGGTGACAAATATAGTTTAAGAAACAAGGAGGTCAAACCTAGGAAGGGCTTCCTTAAGCCTTGCTTACCTCACTAGCGTGTCTTTTTATTCTCCTTGGACATGGAAATTCCCTCCAATTGTATGTCCTTCGATCTTAAATAAGAGCTAGATGTCTATCTTCTTGTATTAATAATCAATCTGGATAGTTTTGCTGCTCTCTGAAATGACGTGCTTGATTTATACAGATGAAAGTATGCCACTGAGTGGAATTCTTAACCAAGTGCTGTCTTGGTAGGCAGTAACGTGCTAAAAGTTAGAAATTTGGTGGCTTAGTCCACAGGCTGGGGTGGGAAGCAGGACTTTGGTTCACATAGAAGTTATAGTAATGCTAATTCCTTGTAGCACCTTCCCTATATAGCATCTTCTGCCCAAAAACCTTGGGAAATTTTTAAATTCTGGTTGACCCCAGAACACAACACCCCTGCAAAGAGAAAGGAAATGGTGCTTGACTTTATTTTATGGTTGGAGAAACTGAGGCATTGACTCACTTACCTTTGCACAGAAAGTCCTAACCACCTGGCAAAAGAAAATGAGGCTCAGGACTTCCCCCAGTCTTGTGCTTACTCGGTGGGTCTACTTTGGCCTTGCTAAACAAGTCATTTGCCCTTCAGCTGGTTTCTCTGCACTGTGACTGTACGTGCTTAGCTGGCTTCTTGTGTCTCCTAATTTCCCAGACAGATTGTGCTCTGGACAAGACTGTAGCCTTGATGTTGGTGCAGAAGGAGAGAGAGGGTGGGAGAAAGGAACTGGCCAGCTGATGTTGTCTGGGGATTTATGTCAAACCAAGCTTTGGACAGCTGTTTCATGAGAGACTGCAGACAGACTAACATCTCTTCATCAGAGTCTTTCAGTTCCCTTCAACAAGCTAAGACTGCAGCACTTCACAAAATTTAGTATGAAATCCTAATCAGATCATTGTAATGCTATGGCATGTCAAATCCTTCAGGAAAGAATTACACAGTATCAAACATGAAGAAGACAATGTTTCCCATATGTAGTAGAATTTGGACGCATGTCTCTGTTTTCTTTGCTTCTGTGAAAGACAATTGAAGGATCCCATTGGGAAAATGTTAGTGCAATTTCCAGTGGTACTTTTCTGTGATTTATTCTAATGTGGTAGAAAGGAAGGGAAAGCTAAATGGTTCTGAGATGTAGACCTTAGCTAATGAGTCCTCAAAGTAACTGAGTTAATTCAGAATGACAGTACGGGTAGTTCAGTCCATCACTTCCCTCGCTGTTAGGCGTTGCTGTAGATCAGTAAAGCACTAGGGAAAGGGGCACGTTTGTTTTAAAGCCAAACAGCCCTGTATGTTTAAAATGCATCAGTGCACTTGTGGTTTATTAGCATAGGATTCCCTTATTAAATTTTCTATTAGCGTGGGATTGCCTGCTCTTGTTAGCTAGTGATGGGTCAGTTTTGCATCTACCTCTGCCCTCGCTCAGATTTCTGCCTGTAGTAGCTTGGTGCTGCTGGCCTTAGTGTCTTGTAGGAAATAGCTAGTCTTGAGCACTTTCCTTTCCCAGTTTTATAAGCCACATTGCTGCCTATCATCTTTTCCAAGTTCTTTTTGAGTGCTTTTATTTTTCTCCACCCTCTCTTTCTGTTTCTCTGCCATTCTGCAGTCAGATAGTTTGCTTTCCCAGCGCAGTAAAACGGAGTGAGAGTTGTCAAGATAGGCGGCTGGGAGTGGGTGGTCAGGCGTTAGCCTTAGGGTCAACATAAATAAGCAAAAGTGGCTCCATGACTCATTTATCTTTTGATTGGCAACAGCTTTGCTAGTGTTTTCCGTCCCCAAAATAGTCAGTTTAGAGAGCTGGCATCTCAGGAAAAGCAGTGTTAACCCCCTGCTTTACAGAAATGCCTAAATGGGAGACAGGATCAACTCTGCTTATGGGTGAACTTTCTGAAGCTCACTTTCTCTTCTGCCTTCTTTTCCTTATGCCTAGAACATCTTTACTTCATATATCTTCATCTCTGCAACGTGCTTCTCTCCTTAAAACTCTTCTGATGAGGCCTAAAGGGAGGGCTGTTGCCGTATGTGTTATGGTAGGACCTGAGGCCCCAGTAAAAGGTGGATGTCCTGTTGTGCTGTGTCCCACACAGTCAAACACCAGCTAGTCTGTACACCAGGCAATTGCAGCTCTTGGCTGGGTAAAATAAAAGAAGTGCTTGACGGATACACAGTGCAGGGTGAAATAACTGCAAAGCAAAGAGATTTTACTGGAAAAGCAAGGTTAGCCAAGAACTTAATGTTTACTGTTGAATTGTGGGTGATCTCTCCTGAACAATATTCTTCTCTGTCCGTGTTGTTAGCTTTGCCTTTGTGCTTATTCTCAACTTTCTCTCTTTCAGGAAGGGTGGGCACAGCTTAAATTCTTTGCAAGCTTCCACGTATTGAATATACTTTCTTCAAGGCATAAGTAACCTAAAGCAGCATAATGTTTCCAGTAACATTATGCTCTTTGTGTCTCTTTCAGTATCACAGACAGTGCTGTAGAGCCCTTAAAAGCTGAACTGACTGAACTGGAACAGTTGATTAAAGACCAACAAGACAAGATCTGTGCTGTAAAAGCTAATATTTTAAAGAACGAAGAAAAAGTTCAGAAGATGATTCTTAACATAAACCTGTCTTCAAAAAGGTGAAGAAGAGAACAAAAAAGCATTGGGACTGACTGGCATTCCTACCAAATAAAAGCAAAATAGCAGAGAAAAATTAAGATATGCCTAGTTCGAGTATGAAATCGTTAAGGACCAGAAGCCTAAACAGAATCTGAAATCCCATTATTACATTCATCTTTAGAGGCTGCTGTTGCCCAGGATAAAGTTATATTTATTTGAGTATACAAGTTACAGAGCTATTAAAATAAGTTGTTTCTTTAGATGTGAACTGTTGTTACTTCCTTACCAGGACTTTGCAGCCCCCTTTTCATTCCTGGCCTATTCAGGGCAGTTTCTGAGCTGGCCCACTCTGCATCCCTTTCCTCTACTCATGCCCACTGAGGTTAATTTTGAACATGTTGTCAAGGAAAAGGAGTTTTAGATGGGTTTTTTTGCCCCCTTAAAACCTATTTGAGATCCCTGCAGGTTAGAAAGTTCCATAGTCCTGTTCATTATTTAGAGGTCTTGTAAAGAAATCTATAAAAGAATACCTTGAGATCAAGAAGTGAAGCCTTGTGTAGCGGGCAGTTCTTTACATCGTTACAGAGATGATGTCATGTTTTCAGAGCTATCAGGAATCTTATTAGGAACCTTTGAAAAAGCAATACGAGCATCACCATGTAAGGGAGCAAAAGTGTTTTATCTGTGCAGGTGTTAATTCTATTTTTATTGCATATGTTCCTTTGGAAAGGATTAATTTAAGTACCCGTTTCCTCCCCAATGCATGTTCCTGCAACTTTTTGTATGTGAATAATTTCACTGATTTTTTTTTTTTTTTTATGTGACTACAGATGTCTGTACTATTTTTCCTGCTGCCCGCTTGAGTGTACTGCATGTTAAAGTCCAGCCATACTTATTCCTAAATCTACAAAGTACATTAGAATAGACACAACTACCTGGTGCTGCACTGAGCACAGAAGGCTTTACTCCCCTCCAAGGCTATTCTCTGAAGATTTTTACAATGTGCAAATACATGTTCTATTCCCATGTTGTTTGGATTGTGTAGGAACCGGTGGTGTCGTCTTTTTTTCCTTCTTTAACTGGGAAATCTTTTTTTTTTTTTGTGTGTGTGTGTGTGTGGCATTTGGACCCTTTTTGATACAATTTTAGTCAGGGCTCTCAAGCATGACTTAGTAGACATAATGAGAGAGATTTGTTTGAATAAATCTCACCTTTTGGTCTTGTCATATTGCAACTTATGGAGACTTTTAAGGACTTACTGAAAACTTTAGAGTAGTTCAAAACAGTGTTTCACTTATCTAAGCCCAATGAAAGTAGCTGCAATCTAAATTGTCTATAAAAAAATTGTGTGGGTACGCACTTGGTAGCTTTAAGTTATTGGTTCGCTCTTTTCTGGATTCATGTATTCCTCACTATGATGAGTTTTGGCGTGATATTTTAACACAGTTGAATTGTTTGAACAGAATACTCATTTATCAATAACTGTTACAAATACCACTTTGTTTTGCTTTTTAGCATGTAACATAAGCAAAATCATTCATTTGAATGCTTTCCCTGAAAACCAATGTGAAAACTGCCAAGAAAATTTAAGGCAACAATAGGCAGAGGAATCCTAGGTAAAATATTCTGTAACTATACCCTGTATAGTGCTTGGCAGTTGGGTATCAAAGATTCATTCCCTTGCAATACGTTTCATGTCATAAGTCCCCTGCAGTTCTTCACATTTGCTTAGACTTCTTGCTTCATATGTAAATATGGCTAGGACTGTTTTTGTAGAAAAGTATAACAAGTACACTGTAATGTGGGTGTAACTGTACAGAGCATCAAATTGTATCATAAAATTATTTTTCTTTTATATAAAATCATTAAAAATGATTGCCTATTTTTCTAGGAAGTGATGTGTTTGCATTGTAAAATTCATGGTTTAAAGTGAAGGGGATATGGAACAGTAGCAGTATCTTTTGAAAGGATAGATGGGATACTTGGGGGAAGACTTGTTTTTGAAAACTTTGTTTGGAAAACCTTTGCTGACTTTGTTAGAAAGCTTTGTTCTGGGAAGCACTGTGGGAATTCAGCTGACCTCTCTCTGATGAGCCATTTCAAGAGAGACTAGCATGTGTCAAAAAATCTACCAAATAGATAATCACAAAGTAGCTTGAGTGTTTAGTATGCTAAGTACAGATGTTTAAAGGGTTTTTTGTGTGTGTGTGTGTGTTTTAATGAATGAGGAAGTGCAGGAAGATTCCTTTTCATTTTGCTTGCTATGTAGTGATCTGGGGTCAGGCCTGAAGGTACTTCGCTCCAGGACTTGGGACTGTGACAGAAATTCAGTGCTTAGTGTAAAGTCACTCAGTTTCTGAACCCAAAGCAATCAGCAGTTTATTGCTTCTAGAAGGAGCTACATCCTAGCTTCTGACGCTGTAAGGGCAAGGTGCTTTGCTGCATGAGATTTTGTTGTGGGTGGAGAGGAAGTTGGGGACTTGTGAAGGAATAAGATAAGTATTCTAAGCTGTATTCTTAACTGTACATGACATTGTGCTCTTTGCTTTTGAATTGTTGCCTCTATTTTTTTTATCTCAATGTTTGGACTTAAAAGCATGAAGCAAAAAAGTCAGCATCACGGTCTGAGTAGATTCCAGAAAGGCATGACTCTTGCTAGTGTGAAACTGCAACGCAGCCCTGTGTTACCACCCTCCCCTGCTCACGCAGGGTTGGAGCCTGTCCACTGTGTTGCAGATCTCGTCACACATGTGGAGGAAAAGGGCTTCAGGATGTCCAGCAGAAACCCGAGGCACAGAACTGATGGGGAAAGAAGGGACGGCCAGTACATAACTTCTGAGCAGTTTGAATGCTTCTCCCATGCAGGGCTATATTATTTCACCAACTGTGGAGGTATAAATGATGCGATTTCCACATAATCTCTACTTTCAGTTTTGGAAGAAGCAGGTGAGTAGGAGCCACTGGAGCTGTCACTGCTTAGCATGCCTTGGGACTTGGATGGGTGTCTACACCCACTCCATCCTGGAGCGGTGAAACTCTTGACCATTGATGCCTACCAGCTCTGAGGTCTGTGCTTTGAGACTTGCAAAGATTTTTGGGGGTGTGACTGGTCACTGCTGATCTGTACAACGTGGTATTTTTGGCAGGTTGATATACTCTTCTGATGCTCTCCTGCTGTTGCGCAGAGCCAGTTGAGATAGTAATGCCTTTGGCACACGTAACATGGCTATGCTTGATTTGATGCAGCAGCTGCAGGAGCCTAACTTGGAAACACGGAGCCTATCATCCTCTGTACTGACGGAAAATGTGTTATAGTGCCAGCCTGAAATGCAGAGAGAGACGAGACTGGAGTCACAGGAGAGCCCGAGTGCCCATGCCTGCCTGCCCTCCCTGGCCCTTTTAAATGCCTACATCCAAAACTACAGGTTTTGTTTGGATTGTTCAAACCCCTGCTTCGCTGGTGTGTGATCCTGTGGGCCCCTAGTCCCTAGGTGCTTCGGTTGCCACTGCCAGAAGCCCCCCTTTAAAAGTGCCTGGAGACTTGTTCCAAGTCCCCTATCCTTGGTGCCTCTCTCAAGCCTCTTTCACATCCACAGACAAGATCTTCCTCCGATGTGGTTTCTTTGGACCACTTGTGCTGGACTGAGTTTGTCAGGAAAGCGGTAGGAGGAAACCTGTTTTTATGTAGTAGCTCAGTGTTTAAGTGTTCTTTTGGGATGTGAAGTGGTAACAGTTCTGCCCTGGGTCAGAGAAGATTTAAAACCTGGCTTTTCCTTTCCTTTAGCTACTCTATTTCATGATATTCCCTTCACCAGTCCCCTTCTTTTCATCTCCCCCTTGCTGATGAAGGCTGTGTGCTCCTCACATGGCAACAAGACCCATGCATTAATCTGTCCTTGCATTAGAAGTGACTGTCCCTTGAAAAGGGGCAGAAAGTATAGTGCTGATCATTAACCTGGGACTTGGAGGCACTAGTTGAGTTCCCTGCTTGCCACAGGCTTTCTGGGAGACCTCAGGGACGTCACCTAGCATCTTCAGGCACCCATTTTCTGGTACTGAAATGAGGTGGAAGCCCTGCCTGCCTCACCATGAGCCCAGATATATTCCAGATGGGGCTATAAATGTACCATTCAGTAGGCAGAAGAAGGGGAGGGAGGAACAAGCTGTCTGGGACAGAGACACCTTTCTCTTCTCTGCTTATGCGGCTGCTGTTAGGAAGGATCCCAGGCCGTGGCTGCTTGCAGTGATAATAGTAACGCACTGGCTGTGCTCCCCAGATAACTGTTTGCTTTCTGCATCATATATCACTTTAAAACAAGAATCAGTTAGTGCTAGGGTTTAATGACATCTAATATCTCCTGCAGTCTTAGCTCGCTCTTTGTCTAGATTTTTTGCTTTGCAGTGTGATGGAATGAAAATGGTGTTAATTGGACTGTGTTAAAGGACTGTGTTAATTTTAAAGGCAGGTTGAGGATGCAGCACCTAAAAAAGCAAGCAAACATCTGGGCCTCAAGAAGGGGAAAGGAGCCTCTGTGAAAACGGACAGGGAAGAGCTTTTTCCCTGCCTGTGTGTCTGCCTGTGTTTCTCTTACACATGATGCTTTGCCTGTGCACTGAGCTTGCGTTTTACCTTGTGGGTGGTTCATTAACAAGGGAAACTTTCTAACAGGGTGGTTTGGGGTTTAAAACCCTTACATTGTCAGGCCCCTTCGGAGCTAATGAAGGCTGACAGTTCAGGGAGGCAGAACTTGTATTTCACGACGTGCCTGACATTCCTTTCTCTCTTGTGCGGGTCGGGAGGTGCCTGCCAGCCCCTCTGGCTTAGGGCTGGGGAGTATTTCTCAACCAAAAAGGTACAGCTGTTGTCAGGATCCTGAAACACAGGGCTGCGCAGCCAGCGAGTGACGCAGGTTGGGCAGCAGGGATGGGACCTCCCCAGATGAAAAAGACTCAGGTCCAAGCATCAGGAGCAGAGGAGCCTGGGAGAGGGCAGACAGTGCGATGAGCTCAGATGGGGGCTGCCTTCTGTTCTTTGCACCCTGCCTCGGGTGAGCTGTCCCCTCACAGTTGATCTAGGCACGAGATGGACTTCATCTGAGGACATCAATGAGTTCTCCAGCTGTTTAGTCTGTTCCCTAGGGTGGGAATGGAAGAGGCTTAGTTCTTTCTCTGTTTGACAGTGCAGGCTGAAGGGTTGAGCTGTGTAAAGTGCAACTTGGCTGGAATTTAGATTTCAGAGGGTCAAACTGTGGTCCAGAAGGCCCCCTGCTCACCTGGGACCTCACCCCTCAACTCGAGGGGTACCTGGACCGGGTGCCCCATGTCCAAATGCACTGGCCATGCAGGCTTATTCTGTATTCATCACATTACTTGGACGTTCTTCATTCACCTCATTCTCAGGTTGAAGTCAAAAACAGGGCAGATGAATTGCTCCCTAGAAATGTGCATTCCTCTGTGTTGTCTGTAACAGTGGCCTTGGGCAGAAAGCTCAAATAAGGCTGTTTACTTCACTGGTATCTAAAACTGAGAGATGCATCTCAGCCATCTACGAGCTACGAGTCCTTCACTCCCAAATAGCTACGAGATCAGGAAGACTCTCTGACAGGGGTGTTCTGACCGTGAAGATAGGTGCTGCGGGTAGCAGGCCCAGCACACCCCTTCAGCCCTGAATTCTCACTCCCCACTGGTATCCTCCAAATGGAGACAGCTTCTCTAATTCAAACAGGTCACCTAGGGGCAGAATTCACTCTAGTTTTGGTCCTGAAGTGACATTGTCCTGCTTGGAGGCAGGTTTATCACTTTGCCTTGGTGCATTTTGCAAATTAGCAGTTCTTGCCAGAGCTGGCCCTTGAGTCCTTATGTTCCAGCTTTGGAAGTGAATGCCATGTGGTTTGTCTCTTTCTGGAATGCCTTGCTGACTCGGAAGGTCAGTGCTACCATGGTTCACATTTCATTATCCTCACCAGCCTTGGAGCAGGGAACACGAGCATCATTACTTTTGCAATGAAATCTCAAATTTCTGATCATGTGTATGCAACCCAGGATATACCATCTCCAACACAACTGCAGAGCACAGGTCCCTGGATCAGGTCTGTCTTGTGTGTTTCTTTATTCCTCTGACCTGGTGCCTGACCTTGCTATAGTTAACCCTGATTTGGCTCGGTGATACTGAGTTACTGTGCTGTTCTTGGGGATCAGAAGACCAGATGGAAACTTCTTCTGGCACAGAGTCCTGGTGGTGCTTGCTAAGCCAGGAGGGCTGAGAGAGGGACACGCTGTTGCTTCCTGCTTAGCCTGCTGTTGCTTTCAGCTGACTCCTCAGTGCAATTTGCTGTATTGGATTTCTTCTTTTATGAAGTCAGAATAGTTTAGAGACCTCAAGGACAGTCTCTTGCCTATTGGGTTACTTCCCTTGAGCACATCTTGGAACGTAAGGGGGGAAATGCCAATTACTTTTAAATGCTTTATAATTGCAAAACCATAGCAATATTTCTTCGTCTGTTAAGAAAAGCCTGGCATTTGTAAGCCAGCCAGGGCCTGCATGATTTAGGGGATGCAGCTCATTGAAAGCTAATCGAAACTGGGCTCGCAAACAGCTTTGCTTTAATAATTAAAAAGGCCCCATCATTCACCAAAGCACCCTGTGTCCATCCACTGTGGAGGCAACCAGCAGCTCTGACGTTGCTGCCAGGGCTGCAGAAGAAGCAGAGCAAAACTGTGGCTATGTAGAGCTCAGCGGCCGTAGGACTATGCTACCTCATACGGTACAGGGCGGCATGGATGT